TTAATGTATGAAAACATTACGTAATTATTATTCAAACAAATATTTTATTTTCAATTATGATTTCAAAATGCATTCAACGCCTGATTTGTGCCGATATTTAAACACTGTTTAAATGGTTTGCAAAACACATTACTATTAACTCTGAGTCTAAAACCATATGTAGTTTATATCGTATCTAACGGTAAATAATGTCTTCATTTTATGATTTATTAATTGAATGCCTTTTTTCTCTACTCTTTCGCTCGTAAATCATATTTTGAGAGCAATTTCTCGGAGAAAAATTATTTCAAATATAAGTTTAGTTTAATTTAAACTTAATTTATTTAAAGCTTTATTATTAAACTCATGGCAAACACTGACAGACAAAATATTTGATAATTCAATTTTGAAACTAAACCATACAAATAGTGTACACCCGATATAATGCACTTTTATTTGTATGCCATACGAAAAATGTTCACTATTTTAAACTATATCAATTAGAAAGTGGTTTACATATAGTTAAATATTAATTGTGTTAAATTAGATTTGAATTGTATATTGATTTATATATAAATAGATTGTTTTACCATATATTTGATGTGAATTTAATTGATTGCTTTCGATGTCTGAATTTATAATCGATATTTAATTAGTTATATACAGTAATTGATTAATTATTTAATGATTAGTTAGCAAATGATTAATTGCAAAATATTATATTTTCATCATTTATATTAAACCATAAATTAGTCTAAATATATATTTTTTGAATCATATGTTAATTAAAACACTTGTTTTTCATTATTTGGTAATTTATTTATAAAATGAGTATAAATTAATTAAAAGTGCAGTAATTATAGTCAACACAACTTTTGACAGTAAAATTCAAACTATTTATAACTATTTCAATACTTAAAATATAAAGTTAATAAACAAAATGTACTCAAAAACGAGAGCTCATTATATAAAAAATATTTGTTGAATGAAAACATTTAGACTTTTAAATTAAAAATAGGTTTTTTGGCATAATTTCTAACTACTATTTAATAGTCCTTTTTGTAATTGAATTATTTTTTTACAATTACGTAAATCTCATAATTTTATTCAAACAAAGAAACAAAAGATTTTAAATAAAGTTTTGTATTGTTTTATATTTTCAGAACTACTGTATTGTTGAACAAATTGAATGATATCTGCGTTAAAGCAAATCAGAGCCAATAAATTGCATAAATACTATAAATCAGTATTTATTAAATCATTTGAATCGTCAAAAACAGAGCAATCGATGGATTTGTCGACAAATGCGAAACGCTTTTGTCCGGAAGCGGAGGAATGTGGGAACGGAAGGGCACGTGTGGGCACTCACGACGGCATCTTTCATTGCGACGAAATACTCGCCTGTTTTCTGTTGAAACAATTGTCTCAGTATTCAAACGCACAGATCATTAGGACGAGAGACGAGTCCGTACTGAAAGAGTTAGACGTCGTGGTAGACGTGGGAGGCGTTTACGATGCGAACCGTCATCGCTATGATCACCACCAAAGAGACTTCACTCACACTCTTAGCTCTATTCTCACC